ATGCATTTTGCAGTCTGCAGGGACTGCTATATCGATATGTTGTCATTGAGGGTCCACCCCTTTTTATACAAATGGACTCACCTAGTTTATACTTATACTACTGTTGGTGAATACCCGGACGAGTCGAGTCAGGTCAGAGGACAGAGTAAAATGTTGTAGGTAACCGGAAGAGTGAGGTGAGGTAACAGCGTTGTAGGAGTCACAGTGAGCAGGCACGTAGACTCAGTAAGAAACGATCATACAGCGATAACTTCTATACCAAAGACTATATATATATATATATATATATATATATATATATATATATATATATATATATATATATATATATATATATATATATATATATATATATATATATTGATACTAACCTGTATTCCTGGAACTACTAATCTGCTTTTACCAGTTTGTATTATTACGTTAATACATTATTTTCATATATTCATTCCTGGCGTTTGTTATTTATTGGTACTGGATTTCAATCGGAAACCACAGCAATAAGGATGCAATTTTTTTTACTTCCGGTCTCTAATAAAAGAAAATGTCTTGGTGGTTAGCTTTGATTGTTCTCTCTGCATTATTATTATTATTATTATTATTATTATTATTGTTGTTGTTGTTGTTGTTGTTGCTGTTGTTGTGTTTGTATTTTGTTCTGTGTTGTAGGATTTGCTCCAAAGTCACAAACAGATATTACAAGACACAAAAAGCTTTTTGTATCAGAGAATGCTAGCAGAATGGGTGAAATGCATTCAACGTGGAAGGTCACTACATGCAGAGAAATCTACACAGGTGAGGTCGCTACATACAAAAGAAATCTACAGGTGAGGCCACTACATGCAAAGAAATCTACACAGGTGAGGTCAATACATACAGAGAAATCTACACAGGTGAGGTCACTACATGCAGATAAATCTACACAGGTGAAAGAAATAACGATGAGTATTATATTTTTGTATTTCAAGTATTTTATGGCTTAAAGGATTTTGTTTCAAATCACCAATACATCCGGGTATATATATATTTGTTTTTCCTGTTTCCCTCTCGATACAACGCTCAAGTGCCACTGATAGCCGAATGTTACTGAATGAGATTGTTGAAAGTAGGTAACGCTGAAACGAAACTTGAAGATGATAAGCATGTGATGATCGGGAAAGAAGACCTGGGGTGATCTACAAAGGAAGACTATTGCATTACTATTATTGTTCCAGAGCAGTGATTCGCGGGAAGCTATAGTTTTATGGAACTTACATCACGCTGATGGAATATAAAAAGGGGAATGTGGGTATTTCTCAATGTAAGTGGCATGGCGGGTCCTAGGCGTAAAGAAAGTTAGACGGCCTGAACCAGAGAATGTAGTTCATCCAAGCACTTTACATGAAGTAGTGACAGAGCAGATGAGGCTCGCCATCCCGTCTGTGAGGGAGAGTCAGAGGTGGAAAAATAATTCTTCTCCAACACGGAGACGCTTTTGAACTGGCAAAACTAGATATTGAGGACCAGGCAGCTCCCACCCAAATATGACAACAATAGTACTCAATTTTCGGCCTAATCTGGTAGAAGTAGAGAATAGGATTAAGAGTTAGGGACTTACAGGAGCCGATCATTTTACCTGCATCCTTAGCGATGGAACGTATAAAAAGATTTCCACGTGCTCGGATATGAATTTGAGGCCCCATATACTCTTGAGGCACGGCGACTTAGAGGGATATCTGTTCATTGTGAGTAGAGGTAGTTCGGGTCCGATCACCATTGATGGAATGTAACCAGCTTGATTTTCAAGGTATTGAATGTATCAGAAAGTTATTCCCCACTGGTTAGTGTTAGATTGGAAGAGGTCAGTTGCCAATCTCTGATCATCAAGACCTTTGAAGTGCATCCATATATCATTGTATCATCGGCATAGACATTTACAAATGATCAGAGTATATTCTTAAGTAGTTCATTTATATGAGCGTTGGTCCAAGAAGTGACCTCTTGGTGATGCCTGTTTTGACTGCCAGTTCCTCAGATGACTGGCTGTTAATAACTACCTCTACCTGTTAGGAAATACTACAAAGTTTATAGGACATATTTACATATAGGGACATATTTAGAGATTCTGTTATAGACCAAATATTAATTAATAATATAATAAGCTAATCTTATTTTTGTTGGATTCCTCTTCTGATGGGTCAACAATCTTATCTTCAATGCCCAACAGATTTAAATCCCATTGGGCATGTGTGGGGCATGTTTCAGACCTCAATAATATATAATGCCATTGCATTTTAGCATCTCTGCTTAGCTCCTTTACATTATGAACGCTTGTTTACAAAAACAAATATAGCTACAATTATTTTACTCTTGAGCACGGAGCCTTCCTAGAGGGATATCTATTCATTGTGAATGGCGGTAGTTCGGGGTCTGATAATCAGTGATGGAATGTAATCCAAATCAGTTTTTCCCCACTGGTTGGTGTTAGATTAGAAGAGCAGTTGCAGCTGCCAATCTCTGTTCGTCAAAGATTTTGAAATGAAACGTTTATTTAAACTACAGGGTTAAACTGCTCTTACAAATTCATCTCTTGATTTTTTGCTTTGCACTTTATCACACTAGCTACTGAGGTTTTAATTCACGCCATGGTTAAGCTACCCGTTCTAATAATTGTACTTTCAACCACGATATCAAAATTCACGAAGCCACGATTCAAACCACGAGGCTATTTTTACGCGAAAAAGGCCAGTGGGCGCACAACGGTCGAGATTTTGAAAATAATTACAACAAAAGATTATTTTCTCGAAAGTAAATAATGTAAACCATCCTCCACTATTTTCTTATTCCATTAATAAGAAAGAAATTTAATTCAGTCAATCCCAAGTGGATGCTTTCTCGTTTCACAGATTTAATCTCTTTCATTGTCTTTCCTACATATCCCTCGTTACAATATCATAATTCAGTAACCTCTACCTTGAAAGGCTCTTGAGCTTTTGTTGTGTTATCAGTAAAATAAAAAAAAATGATAAATTTCCACACATCCCAGAAATGTCGAGGAATGGTTTACCTGAGTTTATATTTTATTGTGCACTATATACGTATTTTTGACACCATCCCACGCACCAGCGTGCACACACATATACACACACACACATATATATATATATATATATATATATATATATATATATATATATATATATATATATTTATATATATATATATATATATATATATATATATATATATATATATATATATATGTATGTGTGTGTGTGTGTGCAAATAAATATTAAATATTATTGTTTTGGGTTTGGGGTGGGGCTGCATATGAGATAAAAGATGTATTTCAATCGGTCTTACCACCAAAGATGTGTATATCCAATCGGTCTTACCACCGAAGATGTATTTCAATCGGTCTTACCACCGAAGATGTGTATTTCCAGTCGGTCTTACTATCAAAGATGTGTATTTCAATCGGTCTTTACCACCAAAGATGTGTATTTCAATCGGTCTTACCACCAAAGATGTGTATTTCCAATCGGTCTTACCACCAAAGATGTGTATTTCAATCGGTCTTACACCACCGAAGATGTGTATTTCAATCGGTCTTACCGCAAAGATGTGGTATTTCAATCGGTTCTTACCACCAAAGATGTGTATTTCCAATCGGTCTTAACACCAAAATATGTATTTCCAATCGGTCTTACCACCAAAGATGTGTATTTCCAATCGGTCTTACCACCAAAATGTCTTTTTTCAGTTTGTCTTACCACCAAAAGTGTATTTCCAATCAGTCTACTACCAAAGTAGTAAGATTACTAGTAAAAAGAAAATGCAAACATTTTTAATGCTGATCTCAATGCAAAAATATTCACCTTTTTGAAAAAATTCTGGGACAACCTAATATTTTTTCTTCAATTTATCTTTTATTTGGCATATTACATTTATATATATATATATATATATATATATATATATATATATATATATATATATAAATATATATATATACCTAAGATTAAAATGTATACATTCTCAAAGGACCGGATATAAAATTAGCTAAAGTAACTTCAATGAAGAAATAAATTGAATAACATATATATTTCTGCTTTTTTCCTCAGTAATTTTATAGTTATGAAACTTAATATCGATTAAATTTTGATTTTGAAATTAGCAGTTTTTTTTAATTTTAATATTAAATTTTATCATATAATTTAGGGAATTCGCTGGTTAGAATAAATTCTTTTTTAATACTACCCATATTTTAAACATCTGAATAGCTATTCTAACATGACTCCGTCGTTAAGCTTTTTGAATTTTCCTATACTTGTATTTTTGATTGGTCCATCTAGCTTTTGTAACAACGTTTTCTCCTTGTAAAGGATAGTTAATTAATTTCAAACTTTTAAAGCCATTTATTTTACATTCAACATAAATACTTGATAAGACACCGAGGTGTTAAACAAAATGGCTATTTTTGTAGTGATTTTATAACATATTTATGTTATAAATTTTTTAAAATAATAATTATATATAAATATATATATATATTTATATATATATATATATATATATATATATATATATATATATATATACGGTCTGTAGTGGAAATGATCCCAGCGTGCGGTACATTTATAAAATGCCTGAAACCATAACACGGGTTGACTCAAGACTTGTGAGTGAATTTGGGTAGACGGAGCACTTGAGACTGTCGATAGTCGTGCTAGCATGAAGTCAGAAGTCATCTTGACTGAGGGTTTGAGTGTGCTGGTGATGTTTAGATTGTTTGATCATTCTATATAACAGGCTCCTCCCAGAAACCTAACTAAGGTCTGCTCAGCATAGTTCAGTATAAACCAGATTAGCTCTGTGGGTGTTGAAGAAAAACAAATGTACCTGGAGCGAGAGTCTGCAATAGGAATTGTTGTTAACCGCCCTATGAGACAGGTATTCTCGCCAGCTATTATTAAAACGGGATATATCAAAATATTTGTTTACAAACTTTGCCGTGTGTATGCTTACGGTCAAATCACGCTGAAACACCGGTTCTCGTTCGATCACCGAAGTTAAGCATCGGGAGCCAGGTCAGTACTTGAATGAGGGACATGCCCGGAAATCACCTGGTACTGTAAGCCCCCAAAGTCCAACCCTTACCTCACAGTCGGTGGGGGGTGTAAACGGTAGGGTCAGAGCTATGCCGCCCGGAACTTCGTTCCGGTAGGGCCTCCCAAAGGCGACAGGTCTGACACACACGCCGGCTAACAAGGGCTCTGGTGAAAATCTGGAGCGTCTGCATCGGTAACCGGCGGCTTCTGGTCGTTCCTGTCTCTTTTGTGGGAACCCCGCGGTAAGCAAGAACGTTATTCGGAGTAGGCCTGGGTACCCTACTTCTGTAATTTATCCCAAGAATCTTCTTCTCTCATAACAGGAAGAAGCCGTCTCAATCTGCCCAGGGTGAATGCCGCATCAGTACAGTACAGTAGTCAGTGTGTATGGTGGAGGGGGGTTCCTCACCCCAAAACAACAAAAAAGGCTATATAAATATATGTCCAAAAGGCAATTGTTGTAACTACAACACACCAAATCATCATAGCTCTTGATTCTACAGATGTATGCACCCGTCGTATTGACTGTTGGACCCTTTCAAATACTCACACAGGGAGTGGGATGTTTTCCTCAGGCCTCCATGGCATGTTGGTGAAGTGTCTCTGCATTATGAATATCTGCTGAATAAAGTAATAGTTTTTTGGTGTCCCTAAGATAAAAATCGAAAGGACTGAAGACAGGAAGATGCAGGTCATGGAGCCAGTCCTCCTGGTAGATGTTAGCCAATGCAACTTAAACGATGTGATTAAAATATGTTGAGACCCATCATGCGCAGAGCGACGTGCGTCTTCATATTAGCAATGATCCATCCGCTAACAGGTCTGGAACTGTGTTCAAAATAATCCATCATTTCATGGTAAATGTCATATATATTCATTCAGAACCATCAGTCAAAAATCTCTCGAAAATTCATCCCCGATTTCTAGCACGTAAGATTTGCACTCTAGTAGTAACAAACGGCATCTCCAGAAAAACCGCCTATAGTAACTATAACCCCAAAAAACCCAAAACGTGGTTGCCCCTACAAACTCTAATAAATAAAGGTTTGAACCAGCTGAAAATATCTTTAAACCAACTACGAAATCAAAAGAAACGCAACGTCGAACAAACTTTAGCATACATCTCAGCAGTACAAGATTATGTTATTCAATTTTATTTCTTCATTGAGTTACTTTTAGCTAATTTTATATCCAGATTCTTCTTTTTTAACATTCCACCCAAAAAAAGGGCGGGAAGCCACTGGTACGCAAGGGGGTTACAGAGAGGATGAGGCAAATAGTAGTGATAGAGGAAAGGATGAAGAGATAAAGGGATAGATGGGGCCATCTGGACGTCGATTGACATTACATTTGAATAGTTGAGATTATAGCTTACTCAAGAAACAGAAAAGGGGAGTTCCACAGGCGAGAAGGTGCGAGACAAACAATTTATTCATCGCACCGTGTAAATAAACTCCCTATATGTCAGTGAATACTAGACAAATTCCCCACAGATGAGGGATATACTTGAAAAGATAGAGAATTGTATTTCTCAAAGAATGACGTGAATAACAAAATGTATTATCATAATATGCCAGTTCCATCAGATAAAAATATATCTTTTTATTGATGAAAATATGTAAATATAAATATCAAATTGAAACTATTGGACTTAAAAATACTGACAATATATGGTAATGGTAATATTAGCCGTTTCCTTTACAAGGAAAATATTTGGTATTCTTTGACCGCTCAACCAGTACTGCTTTTGATTGAAATTTATAAAATTTTCCATTTAAAACAATTTCAGGATAATAGTCCAGTAGCTGTTATAGCTCTTTCCAATGCTGATGACAGTTTCCTTCCTCACCTTTTGTTTGCTGTAGTGTGGAAAGCTAACATATTGATTATGTTACTATCTTCTTTTCGCGTTACATGTGCTATCCATTTTAATTGTTCTTGTTAATCGATCTCAATTAGTCTGGTCAATTGTTTCTTTGTGATTATGTAGCGCCCGGGAGGATGATATTTGTCAAGACTCTCCAGATTTACTGGCTGTTGTATATAGCTGAGGTGTTTGGTGCTATTAAACAACATCCAATCTAGATTTGACGAGGCTATTTAAGAACATGACTCGAGATTCCCGGCTGATTTTGGTTTTGTAGCAATGTGCGGTGTTGGGTGAAACGGACATTTGAAGTTACCTACTCTATGTTTAAATGTCTTCATCACCTATAGTTAATTATTTGTAACTAATGGAAACTGGTAAACATTTAAAAATAGTACAGACAAGAACACGGATAAAATCCATTGTAGATACTGTACAAGTAGATTTTTACGAGGTCTGTCTGAAAAGTAACAGGACTGGCTTTCTTCTTCAATGTAAGAGGTATCGTTCAAAGTGAGTTCTCGTCACAGGGTAAGAGGCTCAATCAGCAAGTCTACAAAGAGATCCAACGGCGTTTGCTTCGCTCGGTACGCGAGAAGAGAGACGATGTGTGCCAAGACAAAGATGTGTGGCAAGACAAATCGTAGCTGATTTACCACGGCAATGCAACTGCCAACAACGCCCTGAATATACGGTAGTTATTGACCAAGAAGAACATTGCCGTATTGAAACAACATTATTATTCACCTGATCTTCCTCCTTGTGACTGTTTTTTTTCTCTAAAGCTCAAGGAGATCATCAAGGGAACGTGTTTTGAAGGTGTGGAGGCCATCAAGAAGGACGTAAGGGCCAAGCTGAGGAGAATCTAAGAACCATTCCTGCAGTGAACTGAAGCGTAGCAGAGAAAGCTCGAAAAATGTTTTAGATTGAAGGTGGATTATTTGAAGGAGAAATCATGTAGTTTGGAATTGAAATAAATTGTTTATGGAGATTTACTTGACCTCCCCCTTAACTGAGTCAGGTTGTGACACAAGGTTAGTTTTTTAACGTGGAGACCTTAGCGTTTTCACTCAGGCCTCTGGTCTATGCTGGTCTTATCTGGTCATAGCTTGTCCAAGCTGGTCAGAGCTGGTCTAAGCTTGTCGTGGCTGTGGTACCACCAGCACAGCGACAGGCCATGTGCCAGGTATGACACCAGTTTTGTTACTTTTCCGACAGGCCTCATAAATAATACATTGTGTTGAAGTGCTCATTAATTTAGGAGAGATTATCAATTTAAAAAAGAATGGAGGTGTTAAGTATCAATATCAGTCAGAATTACCTCCTTCGCGATGTACGTGTCTTCACTCAGGGTCTTGATCGCCTATTGGGACATATTCCCTACCCAGACCCCGTAGAACTCGTACATACGATCAATCCCTGAAAATGCTGGAAAAAAATAGTTCGGTCTCCTGTATCGTTCAAGATCTCTCCTCTCAGTAAATGATACAGTAAGAAAAAAAAAAACAATCAATCGAACATTTGAATATTGAACTCAAACCGAAAAGATATAGACTCTAGAGATGTCATCTCCAAAAGGGGAGGGGTCTTATAGGAAGAAAATGCGTAACTACCGACACCGAGGTGCGAGCGTGACACTCTGAACTTATAAATGTATGTTTTCCGCCAGGTGTATAAATAGCAGTGTCAGGCTACTGACTGCAGTGATTATTGAGTGACTATTGAGTGGAACTATCCAGTCGAATTAGTGTGAATTATTGTGCGTCAATGATTTGGGTTTTGATTTAGGATTTAGCGGACGTTAAGCCGAGCCGAGCCGAGTCGAGCTGCTAACAAGGTATTCATTGAAATGGTTAATTATCTTTGGTTGACTTTTACTTCTTTGTTCTTGTTAAGTATTTATTTGCGGTTGAAAATTAAATACTGTTTTATCTTAACATTGAGTTATACTTAATCATTAACGACTCTGTATGTCTCAAAACTTCCTAAAGCTAAAGAAAGTATTAAGTAACAGGAAAAATTCGTTATAAACAAAGAGTTGTGAACTTTTATGTTATATCCCTCCTACAATATGCCAGTGAATGTTGGACAACAGAGACGTGTGGTTCTACAGAAGGATGCTGGGAATGCCGTGGACGGAGCATGTAAACAACGAAAGGTTATTTTCTTTTCTTTTTTTTTCTACAGTCAAGTTTAACTTGTACAAGGCCCGGAGGCACTCGAGGTAGAGGGTTATTTTAAGGAGTAATTTGTAGAACGGAAGATAACAGGTTAAGATTTTAGTGATCGGGGAAACATTGTCTAGGGAGTCTGTTTCAAAGGGCAGTGGTTAGCAGGAAGAAGTAGTAGTGACCCCAAATACCTACCACTTCACTTTCAATGCATGACACCCATTCTGCTAGCATTACCTGATACACAAAGCTTTTTGTGTCTTGTAATCTCTGATTATGACTTAGGGGCAACTCCTACAACACAGAGCAAATACAAAACACAACAACAACAACAACAACAATAATAATAATAATAATACACAGAGAGAACAATCAAAGCTAACCACCAAGACATTTTATTAGAGACCGGAAGCAAAAAAAAATTGCATCCTTATTGCTGTTGTTTCCAGAATGAAATCCAGTACCAATAAATAACAAACGCTAGGAATGAATATATGAAAATAATGTATTAACGTAATAATACAAACTGGTAAAGCGGGTTAGTAGTTCCAGGAATACGGGTTAGTAGCAAAATATATATACAGTCTTTGGTATTGAAGTATCGCTGTATGACTTCTTACTGAGTCTACGTGCTCGCTCACTGTGACTCCGCCAACGCTGTTACCTCACCCCTCACTCTTCCGGTTACCTACAACCTTTTACTCTGTCACTCTGGACTTGTCTCGACTCGTCGGGTATTCACTGGCAGTAGTATAAGTATACATTGGGTGAGTCCATTTGTATAAAAAGGGGTGGACCCCTCAACACTTATTGATATAGCAGTCCCTGCAGACTGCAATGCATATTTGAAGATCTTCAAAAAGCTATCAAAATACAAGGGCCTTGAAATCGAAATCTCAAAAATGTGGCACACGGGAACATCAACAATCTCTGTTTAGTTGGAGCCCTCGGATTGGTTGGGAAAGATTCCCGTAGACGAGTTGAAGGGA